GGTTACGATGTGGATAATTGTATAGACAGCAAAACAAAACATTTTGTGCATCATATGCAATTATTATTATTACAGTATATCTGTAATTATTGAACTTACAAACATTTTCTCTCGATTGTCACCAAACGTCATTGTCCTCCTCATGACAGAGCCTAATTCTGTTGGAATCTTGTTCCACAAGGACCTCCTGTTGCACATCAAAGTAGCCATTCTTTTTGTTGTATTACGTTGAGTGTGTCAGCTATCTAATTGACTGTGGCATATTGGGAGAAGCTGATCCTATCTGGGTTTGTTCCAGAGGTGCTCTGGGTAGTGACTTGGGGTAGATACCTTGGTTTGTACTTTCCGTTTTTTTTGCTGAAGGGTGCTGAGGCTACTCTGAGTGTTTCAACTGCTACCACAGCTTAGATTGAACGCATTGACTTGTGATGCTTATTTTACACTACAGTTAATGAGTAGGAATCTCCTCCTTGTTTTGAAGCTCGAAGAACCCATGTAAATGTCAGCATTCAAGCTAAAAAGTGACTCCTGTTACTAGGATGAAGAAAACTAGTGACTATGGTTTGTTCTTAGAATTGGTGCTTTGAAAGGCAAGAAAGGGAGTGTTTTTTTAGCTCATCAAACCTGTGTCAGTGTTTTTTGCCCCAGCCAGCTTGTAGAGTGCCACACTTTCCATTCTCATTAATAGCTCTCCCTCAAAGAGCTATTTCATTTTCTTCTGAAAGCAAAAATGACCTCTGGTTCATAGGATGGAATGTCCCAGTTTGCAAAACTTCAGCATGACTTCCCGGAGGGAAATGGCTTAATTCTTGCTATCTTTTTAAAAGTGGCTCCCAAACTGAACACTAGTTGTCAAATGCAAGGACTAATGGAACCCAGTCATTCAGTAAAATGGATAGGATGTACAATAAATAATAGAATCAAAAGGAGCACATTGTCGAGTTCCTCCAAAAATTAAAAAAAAAATCTTGTGGAGACTTTAATTTTGAGGATTTCTATTTTGGAGACATTAAATCCGTTTCCCTTGTGCCATAAAATGACATAACTGAAATGTAATAGCAATTCACGTTTGAATTCAACAGTGATTATTTATTAAAGGAATTTTTTAAGAACTAGGAAAAGAATATATGAGCTTCTGCCACAGCCAGGATAATGATTATATCTCCTGTACAGTTTCTTGGATGGCTCTAGATTTAAGTCACCTGTCCTCAGACACAAGGCTATGATACTAAAAATGTACAGAGCCGATGCACTGGGATGTCAACAGTGAAGGGTTCCTTTTGGCTGTGCTCCTCCACGACTCTGGAATGTTTGCTTATCAGTGTTTAAAGACGAGCCTTGGCAGTGATTCTCATGTTTATTCATCCTTCCTTCCCTGGTTTACCTGACTGTCAGCAGGTTTTTCACTGACAAATGTATCTGAGAAGTTTCTGGGCTTACTAGGTGAAATAAAATGGTTGAAGTGAAATGTTTGCAGTATCCAGTATTATCAAACAATTGTTAAAGGCACTGACGACATGTCAGATTGGCTTCCTGCAAGGGATGACACAGACTGAGCTGTCTTCGGGTGGTAGTATTGTTTAAGAGGACAGCGCAGCAACTTATTTTGAGTCCAACACTTTATTTTTGTTTTCTCCCACTAGTTTAAAATATTGCAAATAGGAACAAGACCTCCCCCCAACCATGAGCTGCGAGAATGTTTGTTTTTCATAGCTGCAGAGCTTGGCGTAGCTGATGCCCAGTGCGAGCTGCCTTTTGTTTGTAGAATGTTGCTCATTGTGTGCTCCCAGGATGACATGGCCACGTCTAATAGAGGCCAGCACTCGGATGAGCCTTTGTGTAAATTTGGGGCAGTTATTGCTGGTTAATTTGTACTCTGAGCTCTCTCCCCCTCCTGGGGGAATAGGGTGGGGTCTTGGAGGGTGGGGTTGGCAGCCTAGGGTTAAAAAGAACCTAATAACAAATTTGTAGCTTTAGATCATGTTTGGGCCTCTATCCAATTCTTTCCACAATCTCTGTTTCTAAAGGACAAAAGGAAGACAAAAGAGGGAAATTTGCAATTCGTATTGGGGACTGCAGCATGATTTGCTTTGTGAAACAACAAAAAAAAGCTTCTGTTATTTAGACTCTTCCATTCAAATCAGGCATCTGCCCCTTATGTGCTCTTGGTGAAACGTCGTAAACTCTTTGCTCGCTTTCAAAAGTAGTGGTGTATCTGGATTTATTTTCTTTAGTTTGGACTTTAGAATGTCGGGGGAGGGTTGATTAGCCACGATCCTGCTGAGATTTCTAGTGAGCACTGCATAAACCTTGGTGCGTTGCGGGGGGTGGGGGTGGCGGTGGTGGGAGTGGATTGTTGAGGGACACTTTCACCTTCAGAATTTTGTAATCTTCCGCCGTGATTGGGTTTTTTCTGGGTCTTGTGAAACATTTACTTATTGATTCAAGCAGAGAACCACTTAGGCAAGGAACCACTATAGTGAAGTTTTTTGGAAGATACTGCCTCAGCCATCCTTTTGTGTCAGGTTATTCAATTGCACTGTGTATCCCCACACTGAACCTAATCTCCAAGTACAGGCTGATTTGATATTAGAGTTACTTTTAAATCAAAAACCCATTTTCCTAACGCTGCTGGCCTGTGTGTTGCCACCAAAACGCCGAATTTAACCTAGGGGGCCTAAACAAATGTTGCTTATAATTGGCCTTAGTTGCAGTATGGTTTATGTCCTCTTATACGCCCTTTCCAGCTGACATCACTAGAAAATGACCAGTAGTGAAATCTTGGCTGGTTTTTACCCCTTGCCTGTCTGCCCTTTAGCCCCCAGTCTTTCCAGATTAAACTAGAGGAGGTCAGTTGTAAGGTCCACAATTGCCCGAGTTAAATCAACTCAGCAGATCATACAACTTTTGTATCCTGTACTCTGTTACACACCACATGGGGGTAATTATCTACTGAATCTAACCTTGGCCAGGGTTTTGCAGTTGACTTCTGAAAAGTGCTAAATAAATTAAATTATAGAATCCCTATGATCTGTTTTTATAGTCACAGCAAGCCTAAATATATTCCTGAGGTTTGAAACTCCTTGTTAAGTGGAGTCTGAAAAGGTGCCTGGCCTTATGGCTGCGTTGTGAAATTTGAGATCCTTTATTATTTAAGGGATTTCTGTCGGGAGAAAACCCTGTATTTTAAAAAAAATTCTGAGCTTCACCAGATGTTAAGGATTTATGTTGCGATGTGCTGACCAACCAGGCAGCATACTTAAAAGGTCTCCATCAGATCCTAACTGATGTAAGTGTCTTCATCATAGTTTAGAGTTGACCCTGTGCGCTGTTTACATGTCTGTAGAAGGGGATATTCCTTCATTGTAGATTCTCGCCTAACCTGACTAGTGACTTCCTTTTGTCTGTTCATTATGGAATTCACCTGGGACAGTGCTGCTGTATCAGGCAGACTGTGTCAATAGATATTGTAGTCTAGCACAAATCTCTCAACTCGCCTGAAGATCAGAAATGCTTTGGTTGCATTTAGTTCTAGAAATATTTTTTTTTAAAAAGCCTGAAACTTAATAAGTACATTCTTTTTTGACCTGCAGGCATTACCAATGTTTTGCATCTTACCTTTTCTGAAAATTTTCTCTTTGATCTGTTATTTAAATTAGCCACTACCACACCTCCATTTGTTTTTATTCCCTAATTTATTTTCTCAGCTATCAACTGTCCACTTAAACATCTTCTTCACCTCTCTAGCAACATAAGTCATCCATTTACTGGAGCAGAATTTGTCTGCTTGCACAACTGTTAATTTGTATTTCATCACTAAATACAAACTTCGTTTTGTCCTCTTCTGCTTCCTGACCAACTCCTTTTACTAGGGAAAAGAACAGCCATTTTTAGAAAATATTTTCCTATCGCCCTATT